GAGTTATAGATTAGTTTCAAACCTTTTGGAAGGCTGAAAGGTTTTACTGCGACAGGCCAAAAGTGGCAGGTCCATTAAGTTAGGGAGAACGTAGGGACGATAAGAGGCTTTCCTAGTTGTTTACCCCACATCCCCTTGTCTCTACTCTGTTTACTCATGTAAACTTTGTACTGGATGGTCCTCTCAAGGGGAGATCAAAGGGGATCTGGGCCCAGAACCTAAAGCTTTTATCATTCATATAATCATTCTTTTAACTACGTTAATTATCCACAAGTGTGTTGACTTAGAACCTCTCTTATGAAATCTTTTACTAAATAGATGTAATGATGAAGAGTCGATCGGCTGCGGTTCACCCTCTGAAAGCAGCTGACAACCATCCCACTTGAATCACTGTAATCGTGTGAGAGTGCATTTATTCATCTGTCATTGAGTCAGGGTCTGCAGGCCAAACTTCTACAGGTGGTGATCAACGTCTTAATGGCCTAATCACCTCCTAAAGGCCCCACCTCCTAGTACTATCACATTGGAAACATCTGAATTTTGGAGCAGACACAAACAATAGCAAACTCTTTTGCCCATTTTTGTATTGGGTTGCTTGTCTTTTTGTTGTTGAGTTTTGGGAATTCTTTTTATTTTCTGGACATTATCCTCTTATCAAATATATGATTGGCCAATATTTTCTATCTTTTGGTTGTCTTTTTTTTTTTTTTTTTTGAAATGAAGTCTTGGTCTATTGACCAGGATGGAGTGCAGTGGAGCAATCTTGGCTCCCTTTGAACTCCCCTTCCTGGGTTTAAGCAATGCTCCTGCCTCAGTCTCCTGAGTAGCTGGTATTACAGGTGCCCACCACCACACCTAGCTAATTTTTGTATTTTTAGTAGAGATGGGATTTCACCATGTTGGCCAGGTTGGACTCAAACTCCTGACCTCAAGTGATCCACCTGCCTCAGCCTCCCAAAGTGTGGGATTACAGGCTTGAGACACTGTGTCTCACCAGTTATTTTTTTCACTCTCTTGATAGTGTCCTCTGAGGCAAAAAAAAAAAAAAGTTTTAAATTTGGTAAAGTACAATTTGTCTTTTGTTACCTGTGCTTTTGGTGTCATAAGCAAGAAATTATTGTCAAACTCAATGTTATGAATCTTTATCTTATGTTTCCTTTTAAGAGTTTTATAGCTTTAGCTATAGGACTTTTATATAGTTTGAGTTAATTTTTGTATACAGCTGTGAAAGAAAAACAAATCTTAGGACCCCCAAAATCACTAAGCCAAGGGAAAAGTCAAATTGGGATGTATGTCAGGCAAACATGCCTCCCATTTTATTACTAAATAAAATGCTACCAAGATAAAAAGCTACATACCTCCCTCACAATTTGTTCAAAAGGAAATTCCTTGTGGACAAAGGGCAGACAGAACTCAAGGTCATCCCTCTGAGACTCACGAGACAAATGCATATCTGATTGCTTCCTCTGCTCTATTGTTTATGGAAAAATGCAGATTCACTGAGTCAGACTAAATTGTACATTCACTGGAAGGCTGATCAAGGACTCAAAAGGATCAAGGACTCTCTTATCTACTTCTGACCTGAAAGCCCCGTCTTCAAGTTGTCCTGCCTCATTAGACCAAATCAATGTATATCTTACACATATTGATTGATGTCTCCCATCTTCCTAACATATATAAATGCAAGGTGTATCCCAACTACCCTGGATACATCATCAGGACCTCTTGAGGCTGTGTCATGGGTACATCCTTAACCTTGGCAAAACAAACTTTCTAAATCAACTGAAACCTGTTTCAGATATTTCAGATTCACAGTCTAACATAAGGTTCCAATTTCATTTGTTTGCATGTGGATATCCAGTTTACCCAGCACCATTTATTGAAAAAAAAAAAAAAACCCACAAAAAACTAACTGTTGCTAATTTAATGGTCTTGGCACTCTGTTAAAAATTGTTTGAAAGTATGTGTGGGTTTATTTCAAGGCTTTCGGTTTTACTCCATTTGTCTGTTCTATAGTTTTCAGTAGTTATAAGTACAGTTGTTTTATAACCTATTTCTGATCATTCTGATATCTAAAAATCACTGTAGGTCTGTTTTTCTTGGTTCATGGTCTCATGGTGCCTTATTTCCTTGTGTGCTTGGTGACCTTTGACTGATTTCTGCTTGCTGTCCTCAAAAACTCATTGATGGGAATTCCTTAAAGCCTAAACTAAAGATATCTTCCTTTACAGAAGATTTATATTTTTTTCTTCCTGGTATTTGAAGGCACTACAATATATAACAAATTCACAGTTTAAGGTTGCGGGACCACCCAACAATATGTCTCCAGTTACAAATCCACATGAGAGGTGTATTGGGCCAAAATGTTTTTTGACAGGGCTTATTCCTTCTCATTTTCTCCTCTGTTCCACTGAGCACCAAGATATCCTTCCCTGAATTCTCCTAGACATGTGTTCACCTCCAGTTCACCCTCCTATTCATCTCCCACCCTTTGATGGACCACACCCTTTGGTTCTACCTCAAATAATTCTCTATCATTCTGACCTTTTAGCTGGGACAGATGCCTGGAATAAAAGACAGATTAACAAGAGAAAAACAGAAGTGTATTAGTATGCGTACCTCATGTATACATTGAAAATACCAGGGAAAATGAGTGTATCTCAAAGAGGTGGCTTAGAATTCAGGCTTAAATACCATGTTTCACTGAAATGAAAGAAGGGTATGTGGGAGGCAAGTTATGGGGAGGTGACCAGGAAAAGCAGGGTACATTAAGAGTAAGGTTTGTTAGCTGGGTGGAGAGGCTCAAGCCTATAATCCCAGCACTTTGACAGGCCCAAGTGAGCAGATCACTTGAGGTCAGGAGTCCGAGACCAGCCTGGCCAACATGGTGAAACCCTGCCTTTACTAAAAATATAAAAATTAGCCAAGTGTGGTGGTGCAGTCCTGTAATCCCAGCCACTTGGGAGGCTGAGACAGGAGAATTGCTTGAACCCAGGAGGCAGAGGTTGCAATGGCCCGAGATTGCATCACTGCAGTCCAGCTTGGACAACAGAGCTAGGCTTTATGTCAAAAAAAAAAAAAAAAAAGGTTTGTTATGCAGATTTCAGGTGGTACCTTCTCCATCTTGAACCCAGGAGTTTGAGACCAGCCTGGGCATTGCAAAAACCTATCTCTAAAAAAAAAACTAGCTGTGTATGCTGGCATGTACCTGTAGTTCCAGCTACTAGGAATGCTGAGGTGGGAGGAACACTTGAGCCTGGTAGGTTGATCACGCCACTGCAGTCCAATCTGGGTGACAGAGTAAGATCCTGTCTCAAAAAATAAATAAATAAATAAATAAATAAATAAGACTATTAACTTTTTTTTTCCTGCTCTGTCGCCCAAGCTGGAGTGCCATGGCACACTCTAAGATCACTGCATCCTCCACCTCCTGGTTTCAAGTGATTCTCCTGCCTCAGCCTCCCAAATAGCTGGGACTATAGGCATGTGCCACGATGTCCGGCTAATTTTTTTTTATTTTTTTATTTTTAGGAGAGACAGGGTTTTGTCATGTTGGCCAGGCTGGTCTTGAACTCTTGACCTCAAGTGATTTGCCTGCCTCTGCCTCCCAAAGTGCTAGGATTACAGGCATGAGCCGCTGTGCTCAGCCATGGAATTTTATCTAATGGAAACAGGCAACACAATCTATTTGCTCAAACTATGAAGGCATTCACCATGCCATTAATAGCTGTATTTGTCTTCTTCTTGTTCCCTCACTAGTAAGCTCTTAGAACAGGTCCGTATCTAAAATATAGGCACTGAATAACTGGCTGCTGAATTAATCAGTGAACAAACAAAGGTTAATATGATTACCCTTCATTCTCAATCACATTTGCCTTCATTCTCAATCACATTTCAGCCTAAATCTGGAAGAACAGATGCAAATCAGGACAGATCTGCAATGTTTTTACACACATATATAATGTGCTTGCTACGAATCCATTATTAGCCTGAGAGGACTGGCCATAAAAAATTATATGTAACTGATGCTCAAAATATCCTAATAAATTATGTAGTATACACAAACACCCAAAATTAAATATGTAAAATGAGAAAAATTCTAGTGGTTTTAACTTGTGGGAGCAGGTGGGAAAAAAGGTGTTTCTGTAAGTTAGAAAGAGAATTTTACTGTACTAAAAAAAAGAAAAGGAATGGCACAGGCTTCTGGTTAATAAGGAAACATTAGACAGAGGAGGAGCCTTCTAAGGAACATTTTGGAAGTATGACAAGAGTTTTTGAGATGAGGTGCAAGAAACTCCAGGGACATTTGGTCTTAAGACATATGCGATTGGTAGGGTTTCTGTTCTGATCTTTTTTCTTTTCTTTTTTTCTTTTGAGACGGGCTGGAGTGCAGTAGCGTGCAATCTCTGGGCTCAGTGCAATCTCTGCCTCCTGGGTTCAAGCGATTCTCCTGCCTCAGCCTCCTGAGTAGCTATGGCTACAGGCACATGCCAACATGCCCGGCTAATTTTTGTGTTTTTAGTAGAGATGGTGTTTCGCCATCCTGGCCAGGCTGGTCTTGAACTCCTGACCTCAGGTGATCCACCCACCTTGGCCTCCCAAAGTGCTACGATTACAAGCATGAGCCATCGTACCCAGCCCTGTTCTGATCATTTTTTCAGGTCGTCGAGGAAGACAATTAAATTGAATTACACTTAGGCTAACGTTGCTGGTCTATTTCTTAAGCCAAAAATAGTATGCAGCAGTGAGATTTCTATGATTCCGGTGTGAAACACAATACGTAACAACTCTTTTAACGTTTTCTCCAGCAACAGACACAAGTCTTAAACGTAGGAAAAAATGGCGTTCTCCTAGAGGATTTATCTCACAACTAGCACTTTTCGAGAACAAATGTTAGACCTTAACTCCTGTGTCCGCCCTCCCCATTTGCGTTCCTCAGCTTTGGGCCCAGCTGGAGGCCCCGGGAGCTCCAGGGTCGCCCGGCAGGTCCCGACCCTCACCTGCATGATGTGCTGCTCCGCCCTTCACGAGCCCGCGCCGTCGCGTAGCTGGCGAGGCGTCGCGGTCTGAGCTCAGCGGACTCCGCCAGGCAGGAAGGGCGCCCGCTTGAGGCCGGGCGGTTTCGAGTGCCCGCCAGAGGAGAGAGAGAGGCGAACGAGGACTTGTTGCGCATGCGCGGGAGGGGGCGGCTTGGTTGCCAGGCAATGCGGAAGCCTAACACAGGGGACGGTTGTGGGACCTTGACGTGCCGGGTCCTGGGGCGTCTATCCCCAGCACTGCCTTTCCTGTTCGCTGTGTGGTGCTGGTCCTGACATTCCTGTCAACGTTTCCCTCCACCACTTCCATCGAATCAACCGATTGTTTCAGAGCCTCTTGCATCCTTGAAACCCTGAGACCTGCCTTCACGGAGAAATAACAAACTCCTGGGGTGGAGAATCCTTCAGAGGAGGCGTTCTAAACCCGGGATCCATAGACTATTTATCGTTTGTTTTTGAGACAGGATCTTGCTCTGTCATACAGGCTGGCGTGAAGTGGTGGAAACCCTGCTCACAGCAGCTCAACCTCCAGGGATCAAGCAATCCTCCTGTCTCAGCCTCCCACGTAGTTGGGACCAGAGACGCATGTGCCACCACATCCAGCTAATTTTTTTAAAATTATTTTTTGTAGAGGCGTGGGTTTCACATGTTGCCTAGACTGGTTTTGAACTCCTGGGCTCTAGTGATCCTCCCACCTCAGCCTTCCCGAGTGCTGGGAATACAGGCATGAGCCACCACTTAGCCCATACACTATATATGTGGATATGTTTTAGGAAGTATCTTGCCCCCAGCCCCCAAGTGTACACATAATTTTGTTGTATGTGTACATTTTTTCTGAAATTAAGAGCCATAACTTTCATTAGATGCTTAAATGGGACTGTAGGCTCCCCAACTTTATCTTAAAAATCTACCACCTTAAGTGACAGCAGCTCTGGCTTTAGGGCAGGCACAGTGGCTCATGCGGGCAGTCCCAGCTCTTTGGGAAGCTGAGGTGGGCAGATCACCTGAGCTCAGGAGTTCAAGACCAGCCTGGCCAACGTGGTGAAACCCCATCTCTACTAAAAATACAAAAACTAACCAGACGTGGTGGTGGGTGCCTGTAATCCCAGGTACTCAAGAGCCTAAGGCAGGAGAATCACTTGAACCGAGGAGATGGAGGTTGCAGCAGCTGAGATCGCGTCACTGCACTCCAGCCTATGCGTCAGAATGAGACTCTGTCTAAACTGGAAGAAAAATAAAAGTTCTGGCTTTAGGTAGGATACCTAGACAGGTGGGTTCCTTTGTGTTTAAATTAAGGAAAGGATGTTTACTAGGAGCTGTCAGGAACTTAAGGAAAGTACTTGGTATTTTATACACATTGTTTTACACAGTTCCAGAGATATACTCACAAGATATGGAAAATTTTTAAAAAATGTTTTCATGACATAACTTTAAACTTGGATTCAGCATGGGACCAGTCCATCTGTAGTGCCTAGCTAATACTTAATACAAATCCTATACTCCTAGTAGCCCACATATTCTGTTATGTTTGTGTGTGAGACATGAATTAGTTAAACATAAATAATTTAAAACATATCATGATTTTTGTAATCATGTCTTGGTATTTGTCTCCTCTTGTTCCTCCTCCTCTTTCTTCTTCTTCTTCATCCTAGGAACCCTAAAAATGTTACTTATTTCTCTCTGGATTTCTGAGAGGCCCTGGGAACTGCTGATTAAATTAATATTCTTTTCTTACTTTGACAGTCCAAAGTCCAGGCTACTTGAAGTACTGTGCACAGAACTAGCTAATGCTGCCCCATGCATTTGTGGCTTTAGGGCAGCATGCTTTCCTTGCTCTCAAGTCCCCACCTTATCAGGGCAATTTATTTTTCTAAAATTTTTTTTCTCTTCTGCTTCTTCTTATGTTCTTCACTCAGGCTGACAAGAAGTAAAATTCAGCCACTTTGTTAGGAAAAGGTGTAACTTAAGCTATAATTGGTCAACATTAGGAAAATAAAGATTTGTTAGATACTCTGCTCTGAAGAATGTATGTATAGACCTAATCCTACCTACTCAAAAGAGCCACTCCTCTGTAATCAGCCAGCAACCTTCTTAATGGAGGAGGTGGGAATCTAAGGCAGAGGTCAGAAGGACAAAAGAGAGGACCCTGAGAGGAGATAAATTCAACCTCCATCTGAAGTTAATTGTGCCCACTAAACATTGATTTGATGTTAAAAGTTCCCAATATGTGTTCATGATCCTTACTAATAAAATATTAGTAAGATTTTTTCTTTCTGCTAATGGACAAGACTAATTGTCTTTCAGATGTTGCGGGGTGAAGTAACTTATTTTAGGATAAATTGAATACTATGAGTTGCTAGAGAAAGTTAGTCTTCTGATATATTTGTAGCAATCAGAAATCCATTATAGTTTATAAATCAGAACTTGCTTATTGGACTATTGTATGGGTTATGGCCCAATTCTCCAACTAGTATAGTTTCAGTTGGTGCTCACATTCTAAGATTGGTAGCTACTGGGCATTCTGGTATTCTGGTGGTTTTGTCACTGACAAAATCCAAATATGATAAACTAAAACAGCTCATTAAAACTCAACTCTGTATGAGTGACTTTCATGAAAATATCAAAAAAACATGTGTACCAGTACTGTCAAACCCAGCAGGCATCTAAGGAACAGCATTATATACAGGTTTATCATACAGTATTTCTCATTAAAACACTAAGCAAAAATATTTCAACTTTTTTTTAATTTTCAACAAATTAAACATTTACAACATTGTTACAACTGAGAACACACTGGCAATACAGGGATTTTCAACAGAGTAAATTTAGCAAGGATTTTTTGCAGAAGAAAACAAAATGTCAGTACATTTTGTATTCCACAGCATTGCTCTGTGGAAAATTAGCTGGCATCCTGTAAAAAAAAGAAAAATTGAATTAGATTTTAGTGTAAATGACCACATGATTGTGTGTACATGTTTGTATATAGACATTTCTAGAAATATTTTGTCATAGAATGATAACATTAGCATGAGCTATTTCCCAGCCGTTCTTCTGTGTGTGTGTGCGTGTGTGTGTATATATATAGATACACACACAGGAGGAATATATATATATATACAAATATGTATATTTATTAATATATAAATATATATTAAATGTATATATATGTGTGTGTGTATATATATATATATATATTTTTTTTTTTTTTTTTTTGAGAAAGAGTCTTGCTCTGTTGCCCAGGTTGGAGTGCAGTGGCATGATTTCGGCTCACCACAGCCTCCACCTCCCTGGTTCAAGCAATTTTCCTGCCTCACCCTCCCGAATAGGAGTGCAACACCATGCCTGGCTAATTTTGTATTTTTTTTAGTAGAGACAGGGTTTCACCATGTTGGTCAGGCTGGTCTTGAACTCCTGACCTCTCGTGATTTGCCACTTTGGCCTCCCAAAGTACTGGGGTTGCCAGCATGAGCCACTGCACCCAGCCTGTCTAACTACATATCATTTAATCTATCTCTAATGGAACACTTATTCTGTATGTCTGTGTCTTCCAACAGTTTACGGTATTTAACTATATAAAAGTGGTTTCCTAAAGCTCATTAATGCCAATAAGATCTATGAATAAGCTATTTCAAAAGCTGCATTTACTCCTTATGATCTATTTCCTCATATTTTTGCAACTAAATCATCATCCTATTTTATGCTTAACCACTTTCTAAATAAATATAGGGCATCAGGATAGAGAAAGGCCTTAGAATAGCAGACGAGAAAAACAAAGAAAAAATGATAATGATGTTTTTCTACTGGCAAAATAAAATGAAATCATGAGTACACTAGTTTATGTACACCCTAATCTTGCAAATAATCTGAATAAAGTCTTCTCAACTTTGAAGATTTTCTTTTACTAAATTCATCAAATCATGGACTTAATTCCATTTCACATTAACATTCTAATACTTGCTTTAATGTTACAATCACAGGTATTTCTTCCCATTTAGTATTAAGCTATTTTTAAAATTTTGTAAATGCCAATGTATATTTATACTATTATAAAAGATAAAATAGTTTCTTTTCCATTAGCTTTGTTCTTTGTTCTTTGAAAAAATACAAAATTAAGAGTATGTTTTCTCATATTCCTCATGTGAACATAATTTATCAGGCCTCTTATGAAGCAGGAGTTAATAAGAAACACAGTTTGCAAATTCAAGTTCCTAATTATGTCCCATGAGCACATTAAATTTTTCTTTCACTTTTCCACTATTTGAATCCTTTATTCTTTCTTGTCTAACTGAATTGGCTAACACATTAAGAACTACATTAAATAAGAAATGAGAGGGTTATCTTTATCTTGTTTCTGATGTTTACAGAAATTCTACAAAGTGTTTCACTAACAAGCCAGCTACTGTACTAACCTGGTTTGAGACTGTTATATAAATAATGTCAAGAAAGGATTAATCTTTTCCTATAGGATCTTCTTTTAATAGAACAGAAATTGACATGAAATTTTACCAAAAGCATCTATTGAAATGATCAGATAATTTTTCTTCTAATAGTGAAAATTTTTAACACACTTCTTAACATTGAACCATCCTTGAGTTGCTGGAACAAATCTTACTTAGTGGGGTCATAAAATTATTTAAGTATACTGATAAATCCTATTTAATAATATTCCTTTAAAATTTTTACATTAATATTTATAAACACAATTGACTTACAGTTTCATTTTTTATACTATTTTTAAAGTTTTGGTATTAATATTATGCTGGCTTCATAAAGATATTTGGTGATTCTTCTTCTTTCTCTGAGCTGAAAAAATTCAAAATTATTGGCTTAGTACTTTTTGAGGTTACAGTTTCTAGATAACATTTTCCATTTCCCCCCCGTAGCTGTTTAGTGTTTAGTGTTTTTCTTTCTTCTGAGGTCAATTTTAGTAGCACCTACTTTATTAGACAATCTTCCATTTTATCCAGATTTCCAAACTGTTATGTACAGAGATGTGCAAAGTACTCTTTTGCATTTTTTATTTCTTCTCTGTTTTAATTTCTCTTTTCATTTGTACTTTTCTATATTTATGATTTTACCATTTTTCTTGATTACACTAGGCTGATT